ACATGTGCTTTTTTGATATTTTACTCGTATCTATCCAAGCAATAATTGGACCAACTCTGAATCTGCTACAAAATTTTTCAAAGAAGTTTGGTTTTTTCGTCAAATTTGGGGTTGAATTTCCCCCCTTCAACCCCGAGATAAACATGTGCTTTTTTGATTTTTTACTCGTATCTATCCAAGCAATAATTGGACCAACTTTGAATCTGCTACAAAATTTTTCAAGGAAGTTTGGTTTTTTCGTCAAATTTGGGGTTGAATTTCCCCCCTTCAACCCCGAGATAAACATGTGCTTTTTTGATATTTTACTCGTATCTATCCAAGCAATAATTGGACCAACTATGAATCTGCTACAAAATTTTTCAAGGAAGTTTGATTTTTTTCGTCAACTTTGGGGTTGAATTTCTCCCCTTCAACCCCGAGATAAACATGTGCTTTTTTGATATTTTACTCGTATCTATCCAAGCAATAATTGGACCAACTTTGAATCTGCTACAAAATTTTTCAAAAAAGTTTGGTTTTTTTCGTCAAATTTGGGGTTGAATTTCCCCCCTTCAACCCCGAGATAAACATGTGCTTTTTTGATATTTTACTCGTATCTATCCAAGCAATAATTGGACCAACTTTGAATCTGCTACAAAATTTTTCAAAAAAGTTTGATTTTTTTCGTCAACTTTGGGGTTGAATTTCCCCCCTTCAACCCCGAGATAAACATGTGCTTTTTTGATATTTTACTCGTATCTATCCAAGCAATAATTGGAGCAACTCTGAATCTGCTACAAAATTTTTCAAAGAAGTTTGGTTATTTTGTCAACTTTGGGGTTGAATTTCCCCCCTTCAACCACGAGATAAACATGTGCTTTTTTGATATTTTACTCGTATCTATCCAAGCAATAATTGGACCAACTTTGAATCTGCTACAAAATTTTTCAAGGAAGTTTGGTTTTTTCGTCAAATTTGGGGTTGAATTTCCCCCCTTCAACCCCGAGATAAACATGTGCTTTTTTGATTTTTTACTCGTATCTATCCAAGCAATAATTGGACCAACTTTGAATCTGCTACAAAATTTTTCAAGGAAGTTTGGTTTTTTCGTCAAATTTGGGGTTGAATTTCCCCCCTTCAACCCCGAGATAAACATGTGCTTTTTTGATATTTTACTCGTATCTATCCAAGCAATAATTGGACCAACTATGAATCTGCTACAAAATTTTTCAAGGAAGTTTGATTTTTTTCGTCAACTTTGGGGTTGAATTTCTCCCCTTCAACCCCGAGATAAACATGTGCTTTTTTGATATTTTACTCGTATCTATCCAAGCAATAATTGGACCAACTTTGAATCTGCTACAAAATTTTTCAAAAAAGTTTGGTTTTTTCGTCAAATTTGGGGTTGAATTTCCCCCCTTCAACCCCGAGATAAACATGTGCTTTTTTGATATTTTACTCGTATCTATCCAAGCAATAATTGGACCAACTTTGAATCTGCTACAAAATTTTTCAAAAAAGTTTGATTTTTTTCGTCAACTTTGGGGTTGAATTTCCCCCCTTCAACCCCGAGATAAACATGTGCTTTTTTGATATTTTACTCGTATCTATCCAAGCAATAATTGGAGCAACTCTGAATCTGCTACAAAATTTTTCAAAGAAGTTTGGTTATTTTGTCAACTTTGGGGTTGAATTTCCCCCCTTCAACCACGAGATAAACATGTGCTTTTTTGATATTTTACTCGTATCTATCCAAGCAATAATTGGACCAACTTTGAATCTGCTACAAAATTTTTCAAGGAAGTTTGGTTTTTTCGTCAAATTTGGGGTTGAATTTCCCCCCTTCAACCCCGAGATAAACATGTGCTTTTTTGATATTTTACTCGTATCTATCCAAGCAATAATTGGAGCAACTCTGAATCTGCTACAAAATTTTTCAAAGAAGTTTGGTTATTTTGTCAACTTTGGGGTTGAATTTCCCCCCTTCAACCCCGAGATAAACATGTGCTTTTTTGATATTTTACTCGTATCTATCCAAGCAATAATTGGACCAACTTTGAATCTGCTACAAAATTTTTCAAAGAAGTTTGGTTATTTTGTCAACTTTGGGGTTGAATTTCCCCCCTTCAACCACGAGATAAACATGTGCTTTTTTGATATTTTACTCGTATCTATCCAAGCAATAATTGGAGCAACTCTGAATCTGCTACAAAATTTTTCAAAGAAGTTTGGTTATTTTGTCAACTTTGGGGTTGAATTTCCCCCCTTCAACCCCGAGATAAACATGTGCTTTTTTGATATTTTACTCGTATCTATCCAAGCAATAATTGGACCAACTTTGAATCTGCTACAAAATTTTTCAAAGAAGTTTGGTTATTTTGTCAACTTTGGGGTTGAATTTCCCCCCTTCAACCCCGAGATAAACATGTGCTTTTTTGATATTTTACTCGTATCTATCCAAGCAATAATTGGAGCAACTCTGAATCTGCTACAAAATTTTTCAAAGAAGTTTGGTTATTTTGTCAACTTTGGGGTTGAATTTCCCCCCTTCAACCACGAGATAAACATGTGCTTTTTTGATATTTTACTCGTATCTATCCAAGCAATAATTGGACCAACTTTGAATCTGCTACAAAATTTTTCAAGGAAGTTTGGTTTTTTCGTCAAATTTGGGGTTGAATTTCCCCCCTTCAACCCCGAGATAAACATGTGCTTTTTTGATATTTTACTCGTATCTATCCAAGCAATAATTGGAGCAACTCTGAATCTGCTACAAAATTTTTCAAAGAAGTTTGGTTATTTTGTCAACTTTGGGGTTGAATTTCCCCCCTTCAACCACGAGATAAACATGTGCTTTTTTGATATTTTACTCGTATCTATCCAAGCAATAATTGGACCAACTTTGAATCTGCTACAAAATTTTTCAAGGAAGTTTGGTTTTTTCGTCAAATTTGGGGTTGAATTTCCCCCCTTCAACCCCGAGATAAACATGTGCTTTTTTGATATTTTACTCGTATCTATCCAAGCAATAATTGGACCAACTCTGAATCTGCTACAAAATTTTTCAAAGAAGTTTGGTTATTTTGTCAACTTTGGGGTTGAATTTCCCCCCTTCAACCCCGAGATAAACATGTGCTTTTTTGATATTTTACTCGTATCTATCCAAGCAAGAATTGGACCAACTTTGAATCTGCTACAAAATTTTTCAAGGAAGTTTGGTTTTTTCGTCAAATTTGGGGTTGAATTTCCCCCCTTCAACCCCGAGATAAACATGTGCTTTTTTGATATTTTACTCGTATCTATCCAAGCAATAATTGGACCAACTCTGAATCTGCTACAAAATTTTTCAAAGAAGTTTGGTTATTTTGTCAACTTTGGGGTTGAATTTCCCCCCTTCAACCCCGAGATAAACATGTGCTTTTTTGATATTTTACTCGTATCTATCCAAGCAATAATTGGACCAACTTTGAATCTGCTACAAAATTTTTCAAGGAAGTTTGGTTTTTTCGTCAAATTTGGGGTTGAATTTCCCCCCTTCAACCCCGAGATAAACATGTGCTTTTTTGATTTTTTACTCGTATCTATCCAAGCAATAATTCGACCAACTTTGAAACTGCTACAAAATTTTTCAAGGAAGTTTGTTTTTTTCCGTCAACTTTGGGGTCGAATTTCCCCCCTTCAACCCCGAGATAAACATTTGCTTTTTTGATATGTCCCTCGTATCTGTTCAAGAAATATTTCCACCAACTTTGGTGGTGCTACATAATTTTCGATATCTGATCTCATTTACATTTTTGGGGCGGAATCTACCCCCTTCAACCCCTCCCTGGACATATGATTTTTCAGTATGTGACGTACATCACCCTCAGTATTATTTCCACCAAGTTTGATGATGTTACAGAATCTTTTAGAATAGATTTTTTGATTTATTTTATTTGTGGCACTACTTATTTGGTCGACTGTAAAAACATGATTTTCATTTCTGAATCTGATGCTAACTTCAGCGACATAGTTTCTTTACGAAATTATTCACGAAATTGTTGCCGAAATATTTCGTGAGTCAACTTTTCCTGTTTTACACGACAAGGAAAGCTTTCGCCAATAAACTTTAGAAAATGTTCTAAAGTTTTTGTGGGCAAAACCACCTATTTGGAACATATTTCTTCAAATCTTAAATTTTTAAAACGTTTACCAAAGAAAAGCAAATGGTAAATGTTGTAACCATGTATATGCGTTGTTGAGTAGAGGTGAACAAGGACGCGCCACGGAAAGAGCGAAGGGTAGATAGAAAATGAGAGACCAGGAAAGAGGCTTGTCTGCCATTGTTCATTATTCCATTTTTATTTTGTATTAAACTGATTGTTCAGTCAAGTTTGTGACTAGTTTGTGTGTCATTAGGAGCATTCACAGGTCAATTGAATCAATGTTACTTTTTTTTTGGGAGTTCAATTTATACAAGTATTATTTTTTTGTTTGTTTATACCATATTTTATAACATATAAATTGTTCATGTATTTAATAAAAATTGTTTCATGCTGTGAACAACGCAGAAAAAAAAAAGGAAATTAAAACCTAATTATGTGCTGTTTTTGTGTTGGGATTTTAAATTTTGGTATTCAGCGTGCATTAGGGCTTTGTTGAATCTACTAATATTTTTCTACCCTGACTGAGCGAATATCCTAGCGCCAAACAAATTAAATATGATCAGTCTAGAGATATTGGCTCAAAAATAACAACTATACCTGAGTAGCCTCCCGAACGGAACCTCAGTACCTGCTGGTGAGACTAGCTAACTAACCAATAACTCTTCAGTATTGAATGTGTGTGGAATTACAAATTTTAGCACAAGGACGGTACCTTATTTAAATTATTATTGAATTAAAATTATTTAATATTAAAATGTCACAGTATGTTTGGATTTTTGAGAAATTGAGATCGAGGGTTTCTCTGCCGTGCTCTTTCCCCTCGTGAATTCCAAGTTGAGAACGGTACGATTTTTTTCAATAATAAATTAGACGTTTCACAAATTTTTCGTTTATTTCACAAAATATTGCATGACTTAAACAGTACCTACCTAAATAGTAAATATATAAGCAAGTGTAGTAAGTGGTCATGTAAAATTTAGGATAAATCTATTTCACTGTGTTTACAGTGTATAAATATAGTCTTTGCCATCTTTTTTGCCTGTACCCGTGTCTGTGCCGTTGCCTTTGCCTTTGCCTTTGCTTTCCTCTGAGCTTGAATTTTCCTCTGAGCTTGTTTTTTCTGTGCATGTGCCATTGATACAAACAAAGCCCTGGTTGCAAAGCGTAGTAGGTAGATCTAATGTTGATGCAACATCGGTGCAGTTTTGGTTGACACCTATAACCAGAAAAGTTATTTACCTAACAAATGTGGAAAGTGATATTTTACCGCACGCAACGGCAGTTAAGCGAACGACATGAAGCGGAGTTTGGTCAAGCCGTTAAGGGCGGTAAAGACACTTTCCGCAAGTGTTAGGTACAACATTTTACCTATGAGCATCTACATCTCCGAAGAAAAGCGTTAATAAAATTAATTAATGAATCAGATTAATTATTGAAATTAGATTAGATTTAGAAATGATCAAAAATCCATTTTCTGAAAAAGTTCTCGCTACGCTGATACGGTACCGCTAACAATACGGTATTTCACATGGTATTTTAGAGTTCTCGGACACGAAGACACATAAATCCTCTAATCCCTTATTCTGCTTACATTTCGACAGGATTTGAGTAATCTAACCCAACTTTTTTTTGCTTGTTTTCCAACTTTTATTTGATTCCTGAATTTGATTAATGTTCCTTTGGTGTTTTTTATGGAGGAATTATTAGAAGTTGCTGTTTTTGCAGACATGAATGGAGCGTAAACTAGTTTTGACATAGCATAGCGTTACGGTCAGGCATCCGCTAAGTTCCGTTAGATAGCGGGCTCCGCTAACGCTAATACCGTGAAAATTGTCATACTTGTCAAATAGCGTTACGGTATTTGAAATTTGGACGGCACGAGAACTGTCTAATACTAAAGTCTACTTTACCGCACACTATGCGGTAAAGTAACTTTACCGCACACTTTGCAGTCTACTTTACCGCACCCTATGCGGTAAAGTTAACTTCACCGCATTCATTCGAAGATACTAAAATAATAAATTATTTAGGTGTACTTACCCTCGAGTAAATTCAAGTGCTTAGTTTGGGTGAATTCAAGCAAAGCCACAAGAGATACAAAAATTATTAAAACTGTTTTCAATGCCATAGCTATATACAACCTATTGAAGAGTGTAAAATAACTGAAGTACGAAACACTAACAAATTTGTTGGCGAAAAAATTAACAATGTGATAAAGAAATCATGCTCTGTACTAGTATATGTACTACATGTGGATTTGACTTAATTGCTTCTATTTATTAGTCCAGTAACATTGAATATATATACCGACTTATTTATTTATATTAAATTGATAGGTATCTTTTAGAATGGAATCCTATTACTTACACTACACTGAAACTTCCTCATTCGACAGATTGTTGATAAAAACTTCATAATCCCGAAAAAAATCTTCTCATAGGAAATTTGACCTAAAAATTACAAATGAGAAAAAACATAAAAAAGCAGAAGTTTCTTCCCAATTTTTATCGTCGTCCAGATCATTTTTTCGCCTTCATATTTTGGGGACAAGTGGAAAAGAAGTGATTCCCTATGATAAATGGAATTAAGTTAGCGAATGTCTTACTAGGATTTAAACAAAAAAACAACCCAAATATGACACAAAAATATAGGCTTTTTCCAATCTGTATTTAGAGCAAAAGTGAATATACGCTGATTAAAACCAATCATAAAAAAAAAACCCGAAATTATGACATAAAACAAAAAGAAAAGAATTACCTACTTACTTTCATCTTTCATCTTTATCCCGCAGATTGTGTTCAACCTCCTATACAAACTATCCCGAATATGGCAAGGAAGTTTTATTTTTTAAATTTCCCAACTTAAACAAAAAAAAACCGTGAAATTTGAAAACCTAAAAACTAAAACATCCAGGTAATTGTAAAAAAATTGTAAAAAATTAGCACTCTAAAATTATCTGTCTCCTAGTCCTCGTACAACTGCTGTCAACTATTCTTGTCAGTGTTGGTGATCCACGCATTTCACGCAGGTAGGTGCCAATAAATATATAGTCCTAAACAAAGGCAAAGCCTACAATTCAGCTTTTCTGACAAAAATAGTCGACCTCGCCTCTAATAAAACCTAACATAAATTATTCATTATTAGTAGGTACGTCCGTCAGTTCGTAAGTTTCATAAGATTACACATGAAATATTCATAAGATAGACATGCTTGCATAATGAGGACATAAGGTATCATAAGAACATAAGGTATGATAAGGACATGAGGTATCATAAGAACATAAGGTATCATAAAAACATAAGATATCATAAGAGCATACGGTATGATGAGGATATAAGGTATCATAGGAACATAAGGTAGGTATCCTAAAAATATAAGGTATCATAAGAGCATACGGTATGATGAGGATATAAGGTATCATAAGAACATAAGGTATGACAAGGACATAAGGTATCATAAGGACATAAGGTATGATAAGAACATTAAGTATCATAAGAACATAAGATATGATAAGGACATAAGGTATCATAAGTACATAAGGTATGATAAAGACATAAGGTATCATAAAAACATAAGGTATCTTGAGGACATAAGGTTCATTTCAATTCAAGTATCACAAGGATAAACACGTTTATCAGAAACGAGTTTTACGGGCACTAACAATTCTCTCATAGCTCACAATGTTTTGAAATAAAGAGTCTTCATCAGTATGTTCTTTAGAAATAATAAAATTACCGAGTTCTCTTGACCACAATCCGATTAGCTACTTGTTCTTTGATTTCGTCAAAAGACATCTCTGAATTTTTGCATAAGGCTACTTCTGAGTGAAAATAAATGCACACTCTCTTTATTGGCTTGGACACGATCCTGCATTTTGTTCCATAAATCTGTCTTATTATTTGTGAAAATAAATGTTTTTCTGAAGGCAGTTTTGAAGCTCTGCCGAGTCAGTAATCTCCTTACTCCGGCCCATAAACCAGTACTTCGCAGCACCATCTAAATTGCTTGTGGCAGTTTGGAGAATAAAAGCATCTGGCCAGTTATGAAGGAGTGCAGTACCTTCGATTTGTTGGAGCCACATTTATGCTTGATTCGAATCCTGTTCCCCATTGAACTTATCAATAGTTTCAGATAAGTCAGGCATAATGTTAAAGTTGGATATTGCATTCCGTGGATTACTATTGTTATTATCTACATTCTACTGCTGAGCTGGAGCCTGTTGTTGCAATTGTAACATCTGTTGCATCTGTGCATTCTGCTGAACAAGCATGTTAACTACATTAATTAAATGTCCTTGATCCTGCTGTGGCTGTACCCGGATCTGATTCGGATGTTGGGCATTCAAATGATTGGACGGCATCATTTCTGTGGTTGTCGTCCATACTGTGTCGTGAATTCAAGCACTTACCTTAAAGATCTGAACCACAATTCTGCAGTAAATCGGCTTCTTTACCCCACTTCTGAAGTTGTAGGAGCCAGAAGGCATCGGCGCCCGCAGAATTTGTCACAGGGGGGGGCAAATAAACTGCTCTCGGGGGAATCGTGGAAAGCGCACCGCAGGCGGAAATTTTTTATGAACCACACCCAAATTTTGCTAATTGTAATTAATATAATAAACATTAAAAAATAAAACAATTTGGAAATACTTTTATTTCGGACGGGAAAAAAAGTTAATTCTCTGTATCTTTTGATAGGTGCACAAATTACTTTTCCTTTAAGTATTTTTATTGAAAGCCAGGGGGGGGCAGATGCTCCCCCCTGCCCCCCCCCTTCGGGCGCCCATGCCAGAAGGCCTTAGCTGTCTCCTCGGACAACTGCTGTCAACTATTCTTGTCAGTGTTGCTGGTCCACGCCATTCACGCAGGTGCCAATAAACATATGTATATAGTCCTAAATAAACTAAACATATATTGATATCCTGGAGGCAAAGCCTACACAGTAGAGGAAGTCCTTGAAATCTTAAAACGAAAACTAAGTCTGTCTACTCAGTAACGATATTGACGCCTTGAGGAATCAAACATCCGAAAATGGCAAAATTTGAAGCAAGGAGAGAAGCGGTTCTTTAGCATAAAAAGAAACAGCGTCAATATGACCACAATACCGCCGAACAATGAACACGCAGACAAATTTCACGAATTACAGAGAACTGGCATTTGAATCTGCATTAGCTGAAACGCATAACTGAAAATGCTGTGGGGCAGATCTATGATCTAACAACAAAAAATCGCGTTTATACTTATACCTTCGCCCTGTAGAAATAAAACAGGATAAATTTAAATTATTCTGATGCTGCTGACATTTTCTTCCACAGTTACTCGAAATAATTTTGTGTATTTTCTTCGGAACCGCCCAAACAGGGAATTTTGATTCCTGAAGAAATTTACTTATTTACCTGATATAATATTGCAATCATGACAACTTACGAATTTTGTTATCAGGTCATAAAATAGTTGCAGTAAAAATAAATCTTTGAATATTGGGTACCTAATCCTTCCTAAATTACCATATTTCAATATAGTTATGGGGCATAAGCACGTTGATTATATTTACGTGAATTTTTCGTGTTTTAATTCTTACCCGTAAATGGCATAATATGAAATGAAATTATGTCTTTATCCGTAGAATGTGGTACTTATGTAACAATGTATGTACATCTATACACAAATTAAATGAACACAAAAACTTTTTTATCTGAAAGTTTATTGGGTTTAGAGATAGGAAAGAAAACCAGTTAGTCTTTCGTCAACGTTTCATCTTCAATTAAGACTTTATCAAGCCTTAGACTTGAAAGTTTGTCCTTAAGATGTGTTCACCAACATTCCAGCAAACTAGGTTCATGTATGTACCTAAACATTAACTTGTGAAAAACGGCAGTTACAGTTTCACAAGTTGATGTTTAGGTATTATATACATGAACCTAGTTTGCTGGAATGTTGGTAAACACATCTTAAGGATAAACCTTCAAGTCTTGATTAAAGACGAAACGTTGCCGGAAGACTAATTGGTTTTCTTTCCTATCCCTAAACCCAGGAAACTTCCAGATGGAATTGACAGGGAACGAATCACAATCAACTAGAAACTTTTCTACTAATAGTTAGATAACAATTATTCTTTGCTCAGATAAGCACTAATACATCTCGTTTTTAATAAAAATCCAGTATTAGTGGAGATACTAGAGAATAATAACGGATATGAATGGACAACTGTCCGATAGTCAACCAAGGTGGTGCGCCACCCCACTATGCTGCAGTGGTTCGTCAATATTTGAACCAAACGTTTCCAGGACAATGGATTCGAAGCAGATGAGCTATTGACTGGCCCCCACGTTCTCCAGATTCAAGCCCGTTAGAATTTTTCTTGAGGGGTCATTTCGAAACCTAAGAAAATTTCCCTTTCAGTTTGTAAGTGCTATTGCTATAAAATCTCGAAAAAGTCACATTTTTGACAAGTTCTCCATCACATAGTATTGCACAAATTGTTCCCTAACGAATAAATAGGTACGTAATCGGCGGTCGTTCTTGCGCGCACCCTCTGTATTACTTGTGGTTGTCTGAAGACAAAACCTAATAAGAAAAATCCACTTTGTCCTTGCTAGAACAACCGTAGATCGATTTTAAAGCGTGAATTCAAGAAGGTATAATAAAAAATTCATAGTTTTTTTTTCTTTCAATATACTTTTTAGAATTTAATTGAGGATTCTAAGTGTGAAAAGAGAAGCAAGAAATAACTATTGGAATTATTTTATATCTATTTTATCATTTATTATCATAATATTATCTAACATTTGAGAAATATTCTTATATCATGATCATATAGGTACTACGCTATCTTAAAATGTTAAAGCTAATAATGTTTATGTGAAATGATTTATAAAAAGTAGGTACATAAACTTTGTTACATAATATATTGTCTTTGAAATGTGGTATAAATTTAACATCCACTTATGTAAAGCATTTTGATTTTTTATTACCATTCAAGTTAAAATTTTACCCTGAGCACAAATTAATATTGCGTGACTTAAAAAGTACCTAAAAATTATATAAGCAAGTTTAGTAGGTCACTGTATTTACTGTGTGTAAATATAATCGGTATGCACTACTTGACCGGTACCCGTGCCTTTGCCATTGCGTGTGCGTGTGCCTGTGGCTGTGTTTGCATCCGAGTCTATTCCTATGTCTATGTCTAAGTCTATGTCTAAGTCTATGTTTATATCTATGCATGTGCCATTGATACACTCCAAACTGTCTTTGCAAAGCGTAACAGGTACAAGACCTGCAGGTACAAGACCTCCAGTTAATGTTGATGCTACATCGCTGCAATTTTCATTTACACCTATGAACAGAAAAAACATCATATATTCGATAAAACTGGAAAATTAAACTATTAAGGTACTTACCCCTGGGTAAATTCAAGTACTTAGCTTGGGTAAATTCAAGCAAAGCCACAAGAGATACAAAAATTATTAAAACTGTTTTCAATGCCATAGTTAAATAAGCTATTGGAAAGTAGGAAACAGTAACAAATTTGTCGGCGAAAAAGTTACCAATGTGATGATGAGGCCATGCTCTATGCTAATTTATACCATGTGCGGATTTGACTGTATTTGCCTTATCTTATGCCTGTATTCATTAGTCTAGTAGATAACATTGAATTATATAATCAATTTTTATTAGGTTTACTCACCTATTTATTCATATTAAATTATTAATAAAAAAAAGTCCTATTACCTACACTGAAGAATCATGATTCGACAGATTGTTGAAAAAAAACTTCTAAATGCAGAGTAAAATTCTCTTAGGAAAACTGACTTAAAAAAAATTAGAAATGACAAAAACCGTAAGTTTACTTAGCAGCCGTCTAGAATAGAAAACTATCAGGAATATGAAAAAATATGTTTTTCCGTCTCCTAGATCGTGTCTCACTTCCATCATATTTGGAATGGTCATAATAATTATAATACTATATTAGAAACTAATGGAATTAGTGAGGACCAGCAAAAATGCTCAAAATCGTATTCCTGTGATCCTAAAGAATAGGAAAGTACATCTTGCCAGCAGCTAGAGTGGTCCCTAACTCTCCTGCCAATCCTGCCATCCTCCAATGCAAAGTTATATGGAAAATATCACAATTTCAAGTCGTTTCACAATAATCTCTATTGATTGTACCTAGGGCTTTTATTTCAAGCACTCAAAATAAATTACCTACCTCGTTACCCACCACTTGTTGGATATCTTTGCAGTTCTGCTCAAAAATATTCACAATTAAAAGAAGACTGCGAGATGTACAGGGTCATCCAACGGCGACTGAGCAGGGGCTTATTTTTGATCTTCCCTGTTCCTGTAGTTTTGAAAAAATTCCAAATGACCAATTGGCATATTTTTTTCTGGAGAATTCAAAAATGGTACAAAAAAATCATTTGAACCAAAAACCAAAGAGTTACGCCATGGGTGGACTGTTTTTCAAATGAAACATCCTATTTTTGTATGATTTTTGGGAAAGTTGTATTTTTTACGTCTATTCTGTTGAAAATTTTCGATATTCCGCTGTTTTTATTTTATTTTAATGTTTTATACTTAATAATTTTAGTTTTTCCTTTTCAATTTAATAGGCTTATAGGTGATGAGGTATAATCAACTTTCGTTCAAAGTCAAAAGAAATTTGACATAAATATTTTGACGCCATCACAGATGTATTGAAAAGGGGAAGCTAAAATTATTGAGGATAAAACATTAAAATAAAATAAAAATAGGTATCGGAATATTAAATATTTTCAAAGGAATAGACGTTAAAAATGCGACTTTTCCAAAAATTATATAATAAACAGGGTGTTCCATTTCAAAAACAGTTCATCAATGGCGTATCTCTTTGGTTTTTAGTAAAAATGTTTTTTTGGCACCATTTTTGAATTCTCCAGAAAAAAAATTTGCCAATTGGCTATTTTGAATTTTTTCAAAACTACAGGAACGGGGAAGGTCATAAATAGCCCCTGTTCAGTCGTCGTTGGATGACCCTATACATCTCGCAGTCTTCTTTTACTTGTATATTTTAGAGCAGAATTGCAAACATATCCAACAAGTGCTAGGTAATTTATTTTGAGTGCTTGAAAAGAAAGCCTTAGGTGAATCAATAGGAATTATTGTGAAATGACTTGAAATTGTGATATTTTCCATAAAACTTTGCATTGAGGGATGGCAGGAGAGTTAGGGACCACTCCAGCTGCCGGCAAGATGTACTTTCCCATTCTTCAGGATCACAGGAATACGAATTTGAGCATTTTTGCCGGTCCTCACATTTTGCATACTCGACTACTTGTAGCGCCTGCTCTAAATGCGAAGTTAAAAAAAACACTTTCCATGAAGGCGGTAGGTCAAAAAGAAAAAAACGCGAAACTTCCCATCCATCCAAGTTCAGAACAACGAAATCGATATACCAACATGGTGAACATAGTTTTAGTTTACCAAAAGCACACACAAAAAAAATTAAAATGTAAACACTAGGATTTTTCTAGCGACGCGTTTTGGTCTATGTGACGGTTATCGAGAGCAAAATTGAAATTTATTTAAGGGAAGTATCACAAAATCATAAGTCACTTGCATTTTATTCCTCACCAGAATCACAAATTGGAAAGTAAAACAAAGTTAAAAATTGATATAAATTGCCTCACAAGAGATAATTTATATGAAAGGAGAAAAAAAAAATCACTATTGAGTAAAATATAAAATAATATTTATGGTATATAAAATAATATAAATAACAAAATAATATCATTATAGAATAAACATTTTAAAAAGGGATGGGAGAAAACAGGCACTATCAAAAAACAATAGAAATGTCTTAACCATTTTTTTGGGGGTAATAGAAGTAAAACAGAAATAAAATAAGAGGAATTGAAAACAAGTAAAATGGGCCCAATTTTCAAATCGGGAAGCAAAAAAAAAAAAAAATGTGCCATTATACAGTGTCATTACTTAAGTGTGCAACATATGGGATTTTTTTGTGTGATTTTTTAAGTGTGCAACATATGGAAATTTTTTTTATTAATAGCACAACCCAAATACAAACAAGGCGAAAAGTTGGTGCATGTCTGATAATCATATTAAGTGCAGTTAGAATGGTTGCAAGTCAAACAGCATACAGGGTAGCTCAAACAATTTCAAAGCTGTACTGTGAAGTGTGAAGTACCCTTATTTTAGAAAATTCAGCAAAATGTTATAGAGAAAAGTTGTTTGGAATTAAAAGTTATGCCTAAATACTAAAACATAGCCTCATAAGATTTTTTTTATTTTCTTTCGAAAAAAATCTATAATTTCTATATTTTTTTTATTTTTTATTTCCGCCCTTAATACTTTCAAAAATTAATTAAAATCAAATCAATTTTACATAACTTTGTTCAAATTCAAGCATATTTGTAAAATTAACTTAGATTTTTAATTTTTTATGGAATCACAAAATTCATGTTTGTTGCAATGATATTCAAACACAACTTCAAAATGTCGCAATTTTTTTTTTAACAAGCTAAAACATTACTAATGATAATAGCCATATTAAAAAAACTCTCCTTAAAGTGCAAAAGTTTTATTTTATTTAAGTAAATATTAGTAGAATTTTGATATTTTTTGAGCCACCCTGTATGCTGTTTGACTTGCAACCATTCTAACTGCACCTTATATGATTATCAGACATGCACCAACTTTTGGCCTTGTTTGTATTTTGATTGTGCTATTACTAAAAAAAAATCCCATATGTTGCACACTTAAGTAATGACACTGTATATATTTAGGTGTAGGGATCATCTAACATTTAAAAAAAGGTCAATGGTAACGGGTCTTCAAAAAAAAAACAATCAAAGATTGCTATGGTTTTTTAATTGTATGTCTTGCTTCAATTTTGTCAATGAACTTTAATGTCAAAAATCCTGACCAATAAAGAAACAATAATGCGACGTACGTTTTCGTAATCAGAGCAATGTAAGATTTTTTTTTAAGACCCGGTAGGTAGGTATACAACGCTTTTGTTCTGTCACGTTCTGTCTCAACTCAAATATTTGCTGCCCATTTTGGGGAACGTGCGGAAAAAAAAATATTACAAAATAGAATCCTAAAAGTAATATACAAATATGATAGGCTCACTACACAAATATAATATCGTGACTTAAACATTCAAATGAGATATATTTTTACAAAATGGAGCAGTGTAAGCTTGTAATTTGTATATTGTCAATGAAGTACATAATTGCAATAACAGAGTTTCAAATTAGGTATATTATTTTATAGAGTACAAAACTAATAGGTCCTGTTACTCAAGCCTCTAAAATAGGTATGTAGGTAATGAATCGCCTAATGCCCAGAGGTTATTCTAACGTGCAGTTGGACACAAAATGTGCAGTAGGAAAAGTAAATTGTGCAGTGGAAAATTAAAATGTGTGTAGTTATTTTTTCATGTATTAAGAACAAATAATTTAGTTGACATAATATGCTACATATGAAAATACAATAGCACTATCAATACATTACATTTATTCTAAAATGTATTGCTAATTTTCCCCCAGCACTACCTAAAATTCTCCGTTTACCTCATCCGCATTGGCCTCAGCAAAAATATCTTTGCTGTTTAGCCTGTGCTGTTTCTTTGACTCTGTGCTGACGTTCATTTAACCAAACCATAGTGGCTTGTCGCGTTGTCGAGGATCCCACTCTGACAGATAAGGCATATTGTGATAAATGTAAAAAAGGGCGTGGCACCTCCAAAAAAATTTCGCCTTTTTTTGAATAGTTCACAACCAAACTAGGATGTCACTAGCCGCCATTGCTTTTATAACACTCCAAATAATGTAATGTCAGACGCGTTCATGAGTTATTATAAAACCAAAATAGAAGATAGTTTATTGTCTATTTAGGTAGAAAAGTGTCACATTCTCGGCCGACGGTGTAAGTTGACGCGCGAGGCGCAGCCGAGGCCGGCAAACGCCGAAGGCCGAGAATATGCTTTTCTTCTGAAATACACATACTATTTTTTTTTTGCTGTCGCTCAGGAATAATAAAAATGAGGAATGCTTTTGTGATGTTGCTGAATCAGCACACTTTCCCGGCCTAGGCCAGAAAAGTCTTTCCCGTACTGTTATCCATTCATTCCTTAGTAATCACTTTCTCGGAAAATACCAGAATTTCGAGTTTTGCGACCTGTTAACCGGTCAAAAATGATGACATTTCTTGTCAATCGCAAAAAACATATATTATGTGAATGTGTGCTAGTAATACATGTTTCTTTATTTGGAATCGCAAATGTAACCTATGGTATATTATGGCATTTTTCATTAAATTAAATTCTAAAATCGGCAATGCCATATTTGTCAAGGCTTTGTTGAAGGAAATGATTGAAAATTACAAAGTGGAACATTCGATAACGCGTTCCGAAGTCATCACCTGGGTTTAACCTCGTGCGACGCCCTGTATATATGTATATGAACAAATAAATTGTATTCCAATAACATAATATACAGGGTGAATCTGAAAGTGAGGCTTTTTTTTTAACAGGGTATATATCTCGCTAAAATAAGTTGTTTG